GGGGGGGGGGGGGGGGGTCCCCTCATTAGAAATATCTTTTCCCTTCCTCCACCTTCTGCCTGAACTTACAAGTTATCTCTGTTATTTATTTTCAATATTTATTTACACAGCACTGAGCTGTAACCAGCTCTGCTTGGGAAAAAAAAGGAGGCAGCAGGGTGCAGCTGTAACTTCCGCTTCCATCACTAGCCTCCACAAAACTGCAGGTGTTCTGCAGAGATGGAGCTGTGCGAGTGTCAGCTTAGAATACGTGACAGGAACTGCAGCTCCTACCTATGAGCTCCAGTAGCCGATTTAAAGAAATGGCCAGACCAGGGTTGTAATTTATAAAGAAAACTGAAAGTTTCTTTATGCTGAGAGTCGTGACATGCCTACAGTCTCAGTGAAAGTCAGTGACAGATTCAGGGGCAGAGCCCTGGAAGGCTGATTACCCGTCTGCCTCCATTTTTAAAATAAGACCAATCTATGTTGCTTCCCGTAACTTTCATTACTCTAATTTACAACTTCTCATTGGCAACATGCAGGTTAGTGCCTAGTGCTAGACTGTGTACATCACTGCCCTCTATTGGACAGAGTGCTACAGGACTTCCAGCACTGTCCTTGCATAGCTTTTATTCACAAATGTTTAGAGAAACATCTACTGCTACATCCCATTATGGGGACACCACTAAAAGCCAGATGCTGTATATCACAATTTGATATGGGTACAAGCTAAATACCTCAATACCCCAGCATCCAGGAGCTGGGAGACTGGGGTCAGAATCTGAATTTGCAGATGCCTTCTTTCTCTACAATGAATGAAAATCCAAACCCTAGATCTAAATACCCTCACATTTTCAGGTGTTCAAATTTTCTCTGGTCAAAATTCAGAATATTTTTCCCCACTATTAACTCTTCTCTCTCTTGGCCTCCATGTTTGGATCTTCCTTGTTCCCCTATCTTAGGGTCAAAACATTTTTGGTTGTGGGACATCATTGTCATATAGGCAGATGAGAGCTAAATATTTTGAACCCACTGTTTCCTGCTGTGTGCTCTGGGACGTGTGCACCGTCATTTTAGTGAGTCAATTACTGGATGCTGCTAAGTGAAGAAGGCAGAGTAAATATGCACCTTATAGAATAACTAAATAAGACTGTGCTCTCTCACTATAAACTTTCATGAGCCCAAGTTCACATTATCAGATGAGCCAGATGAAGAGCTGGCTCCATGCTTCATGTATATTAGCTGACATTACTCATCTTCCACTCTTCTTGCATAGTAATTCCTATTGCAATTGGACTTAGAAAAACTATATAATTAGGTCATGCAGTCCATTTCAGACTTCAGATTCTAGCAATGAGTCTTCAGGTCTGCGCTCCTAATTCATTTCCAGTTTGAGCTGCAAAGAACATCACCCTATAAAGTAATACACAAGCACCACCTACAGGCAGAAAAGAGAATGGGACTAAGATAACCACTTATTACTTCCCTACAAGGATGATCAAGTCAGATACATTTTAGAGGGGAGAGGTTTTTCAGTAGCCCTTGTGCTAAGAGAGAGTTGTCATGGAAACAAACTCCAGTGATAGTTGCTGAGTTTACCCTCAAGATGACCTACCTGGAAACTCACTCATCCCTCCTCCCTTGAAATGAAAATGAATGAATAAGTAGCCCCAGAAATCATATATAGTGGCGCTTAACAACCTGGACACCAAGGGAGTCTCGAACTCCCAGGTACTCTCAGTGGAAGAAATGATAACATGGGAGTCATTTTCACCGTCATGTGAGCCTGCAAGGATTCATAACTTTGTGCCAGTCATGTAGCTTCATAACTACATGCCATGGCTATCAATAAGCTGGTGCTACTTTGGGATACGTGCAAAATCAGTGTCACTCTGCTACCTCTCACTCTCCCCCATTATAACTAGCCAGGGAAAGGGTGGCTGGCTTGTCCCAGCAGCTGTGCTGAAGATAAAGATCCACCGTGAACTCAGCCGAGACCCAACATTGATCTTCGATGCTGCAGTGAAAAGG